AAAAATTATTGATGCCATTTCACGCAATATAACCTAAGCTTTGTTTTTTTTAAAAAGGTATTTCTTACATTTCACTTGTTTACATTCAAATCTTTAACAGCCCTTGCACTGAGACCTTTCCTTCATCGGTTATAGGTAATAGTAGACCGTTTGATTGTCTAAGAGCTGAGCCGAAGGCTCTTCGAGCTCTAGGTTTGAAAAAAAAACCTGATTGAACAGGGAAAAAAAATGAACAACCGTTCTATCTGGAAGAGATCAGAGTCAATGCCTATGTAAAGCATTGCTATTTCCGATATATCTGGCACTCCGAGCACATGGGCTAGAAAGCATGGCCGAAGGCCGAGTATACTAGGAACCTCCGCCATTTTCCTATGTTGATGCAATTTCACGTAATATAACTTAAGCATTGCTTTTTAAAAAGGTATTTCTTACATTTTACTTGTTTACATTCAAATCTTTAACAGCCCTTGCACTGAGACCTTGCCTTTACCAGTGCACCAAGCTAACCGTGCAGGACTCGCCATTATGTAACGTCCCTTGAGGAACGGCGTATGGATTATCGACAGGGCCGTGAGAGCTCTCTTTCAACTCCGCTACGTGCAATAAGACCACTCTCGCGTTCCATTGGACACTCCCACGGGAGTTTTATTTTGCTACTCATTTAGTCTAGCCACTTCCTCTAATGGTCGTTTCCACCCAAGTGCCAAGTTGAGGCAGAATAGCGTAGTCGGGTTAATAGTAGACCAGCTAGGCCTATAGTTCCGCGGTTTACCTCTTGTGGAATGCCTACATATATGAAAATATTTAATATAGTAAAAAGTCGAAATAAAATTGTCTGTTAATCAACTTCCGGTTAGATTCTGTGGGAGTTATCTCTCGGTTTACTACTGTTATTTCGGTCCAGACTTTCTCTAGATTCTAGATCTAGATCTATATAGGCTATAATTTATAATCAATAGTAAGTTCTTGATCTAGTAAAAAAAATGATGTGTTATTTAGTTAAAGAATTTACAGACTTAGATTTAGAGAGTAGAAACACTACAAAACTCTACACTGAATAGTTAGTCATGATTCAGTGGTCCCTGTCGTTATCACGGTTATCGGACTTTTGCTATGTCATGTTTTTCATGTTACATTTAGATCTAGATCTACAGTTCTACACAATGTCTACATGATGATGATGATGAAAAATAAGAAATTAACTTTTATTTGTTAATAATTTATTTTAGCCATTTAGTGTACACTCTTAATCTATTGTATGTTTGATAATTTGTTAGGCAGTATGAATGATAAAAAATAATACACAAAATTTAAATCAAATTCAAATGACTTTTTTTTTTTTTTTTTTTTGCTGTTAGTTCAAGTAGATCTAGATCTAGTTGCTTTGCCTTCAGTTGTTCTCCATGTTTTTCAGACCCAACATTAGAGTAAAAAATTATTGTAAATGAATAGTGAGCTACTAATTCTTTTAAAGTTCCCCTTGAACATAATTATGGGAAGCCTGAATTAGATTTGGCTATATTGCAACCAATATATATATATATTATAATATATATATAAATATATATATAATTAAACATTAATGTAACACTTTAGTTAACTCAATTTTATTATATTAATTTTATCTTAAGTATCAGTATATTTTCTTTTTTTTTATTTCATCAGATTCTAAAAATGTCTAATTTAGATGGCATTAATTTATTCAGCGGAGCAAAAGTTCTTTTGCTATGGGCAGGAGAGCAAATGTCGATACAGATGCAAGACTTTGCAAGCTCCATATCCAATCAAATTAGATCTGGTGAAGAAGGAAAAATTCAACTGGAACACATTGAAAGACTCAAATTATGTATGTATAGGAACTAGTAGAAGAAAGTAGATTTGAAAAAGAATTGCTTTTTTAATCTGCAATTTAATCCTACATTGACTGTAACCTTAATGTCTGAAACAATTTTGTTAGTCAAAAATACAACCTTAAACAAAATTTAATACTTTTTAATAGTAAAACTGTATTAATTTAAATTAATAATTGTTAAAATATCCTCAAAATCTTTGCTTAGAAATTTAGTCTGATTAATTGAATTATGTAAAGATTTTAAATTACAAATCCAAACTGGGCCTCTTTTGTTGCATTTGGACATTTAAAGAGTTGTAAGAAAAAGAGGTAAACAATAGGAGGTTTGGAGCTCTTCTGTTCTGAGTAATTTTTTTTAAAAGTCGCTATTCAGATCAAGTATTTATAATTTATTAAATTTTAATCTTTAAAAAAAATACTTAAAAATATATTCACATTATGATAGCATTTATATAAAAGGAAAACATATCTATATTCTACAATACAATCCACTGTTCCTTTAAAAGGAATTCTGCAATTTGATTTATGCAAGTTTCACAGTATGTTATGAGCATTGTTTTCTTGTTTGTTTGTTGCTGTTTTTTTAAAGACTGTTAAAAAATGTAAGTTCTACATATGTTAATAAAAGCTCATATGGTTTGCATTTCAAGATTGCTTGGGATCTCTATTGTTTGTTATAATAATCCATCAAGAAAAAAATATTTGTAGCATAACAATGAAGGCTCTCATCTTCATTTTGAGTTAATACACTTTGTTTGTTTTTCTTAGCTTCACATCCTAACTCAGGTTTTGATGTTGTGCTTTCTGGTCTTGTCAACCCTTTGCTAATCAAACACACAGTAGACATACTTGGTGAAATATGTTGTGTACTGAAACCACAAGGAAAACTTTACATTCAGGAACTTTGTCTCCCCCTGGACACACAAGCTGAAACTGGCATTAAAACAAAAGAGAAGTTTATATCGTTACTAAAACTTGCAGGCTTTGTTAATATATCTCAGGTAGGCTAATTCTGTTTGTAATCTATATATGCTGCCAATTATATTCTATTTAATTTCTATTTGTACTTGGGAGAAGATATTTATGTTTCAGTTAACAAGTTTTTGTTTTTTTCTTCTCAATACTGTGCATCTCTACAGGGGTTGGTAAGTAAAGTAATGGATTTACTTAGTGGTCAGTGACTATGTTTGAGTTTGGATAGAAGGCATAGTTCTTGAATTGTAGTGCTGCAATCCATTGGAATTATGGTTTCCTTTTACTATAAAATGTGTTACTGGGTATTATACGTTCTTATATACAAATGTAATTTAAGTATTAGGACTGTTCTATGTGCTCTGAGGTTGTGTTTGAATTCAAGGAACCAATGTCATACTGACTAGATTTTCTCAACTGTTTTACCTGTGGCATTTTATGTCTTGAGAGACTATCTTTTCCCTTTGCAACTTCTTGTGTGACTAAAGAGGCTACTCCTTAATACACAGCTGCAGTAGACATTACTGTCAGAGATGGAGTGCCTCTTGATTGCTGGGGGAAAGCCTGAGTGGTAAATTTGCAAGTGCTGGGCTTCAACACGTTAGCATGTGTCTCTCTTCCATACTGACTGGATCCAAAGGGATGGAAAACTATCACAATGTGGGGTCAGGTGGCTGTAAGAGTTAACAGAAGAAAATGTCTCTACCAGATGGGAGAAATGCAAAAATGTTGACTGATTTGAGGTTAAACCTTACACAAATGGAACTTTGAATCAAGCAAAAGAGGTCTTTACTCCTAAACTGATCAAACCAAGCAGCTAGAGCAATGGAAAAAGCACTACTTTGATATTTACGCCTCACGGAAGACAATGTCACCTTAGTCTCTCTACCAGATATTCTAGTGTAGAAATGCTTGGAATAACTACCAATTTCCAATGATTTAAAAAAAAACAACAATAAATGGAATGAAAAATAAGTTTTCAGGAGCAATGGCATTCTATCAGAAGTATTAAAGTAAAATTGTTTTACTCTGTTTGGTATATATTCTTATCCTGGCTACTGCATTATGCTTATAACATCATCAACAAAGGTGTATTTCTTCATACAAGATCCTCTGGTAAACACTTCAATTTATCCAGATTTAGGGCCAAAACCAAAGTTAGAAAGGTGTTAATTATGGAACTCCTAGTCTAATGATAAGCTATCATTGCTGAATCTGCTACTCAGCTTCATACCCTGGTTGACAGAGTGTCTGCTGCATGCATGAAGTTTGGCTTAAATATTTTTCAAATACCAAAACCAAATATATAGACACTTTGTCAAATAACGACAAAAGTTGTGTATGCTTTTGCTTGAGATCAGTTTAGCCTACTGTTAGTGAATCACATTTTTTAATTAAATTTTTTTTTGTTGCTTCAGCCTCGTGAAGTTTCTTTAGATGATGATGAAAAGTTGGAGCTGAAACAGAAGTTTGAATCTCTGCCAGAAAGTGTCATCATTAGGTTAGAGGCACAGAAACCAAGTTATGAAGTGGGCTCATCATCACAGCTAAAACTGGCCTTCAAATCCAAACCCGCTGGTTTGTAATACAATTCTCTTGTCATCTAGGCTTTTTGTTGAGCATAATGTGCTGGTACTATGGGTCATATTTTTGGTGATTTCCAACTTGCAGTTGTCATGGTAATTTGACAGTCTTGAGAAAAAAATAAGCCCAAGTTAGCTTCATTCAAACACCTAATAATATAATTTGATAATTTTTAGTAATATTCAATAAAGGCTTTTAGTACTTCTAACAGATTATATTAGAAATGTAAATGATATAATTCATTAAGTACATGTATTTTTAGTTTGAATCAATGATTCTCTTTATTTTTACAGCTAAGGTGGATGACAAAGTGGCCAAAGTTTGGGCTTTGAATTCTTCAGATTTATTAGATGACAATGTTGACCTAGTCAATCAAGATGACTTGTTGAATGAAAATGATTTGAAGAAACCAGATCCAGCAAGTCTTAAATGTGAGTTACTTCTATATCCTTTAGTAATTTACTATATTTTTTTAATATTTTTATTCCATTCATAGCTGAGAAATCTCTCATCTGGTTACTAAGTAAAATCTTAAATTCCTTTCCAACCTTCTAAAGCTTTTTCTCACAGCTGTTACTTCTAGGGGTGCCCGAGCTTTTTTTTATGCCTGGTATCCAGCAAGAGCTCAGCTCAGTAAAGCCTTAGTTATCTTATGTCTTGGTGGTAATGTTCTTACTGTAGTCTATCAATATTTATTGCAAAGGTAGGAGTGGAACTAACATTTTAGGCAGCTTTTTCATGCTTTGTTGGTTCTTATTGCTTTCTTCTCTTTACAACACAGTTGACTGTGGCAGTGGACCTGCCAAGAAGAAAGCATGTAAAAACTGTACCTGTGGCTTGGCAGAAGAACTTGAGAAAGAAAAGCAGCCAGTGACAACGACCAAGACGTCAGCTTGTGGAAATGTATGATTTAATTGGTTTTTTTTTGTTTCTTTAAAAAATAAGTGATCCATTTAATTAATATGTTTTTTAAATTAAACTTTTAATTAATAAGCGTTAGATGTGATGAATTATTTGGCTTCTTTGGCGGTTAAAAAAAACTATAGTGTTAATATAGATTTTATAAAATCAAAGACCAGACCAAATAATTTCTATTTCCTTGTTAATTGTCATATATTTTTTTTGCTAGTTGTCAGTTTAAACAATTGCTTAATATTTTGCCTTTATCTTTTATCAACTCAGCCCTTCTTTCCCCCTCCCCCTATCTTTTTACAGCAGTGGTCTTCAATGGGGGCGATATCGCCCCTAGGGGGCGTTTTCAAGATTGGGGGGCGCTGGGAGCCAAAGGGGCGGTAGGGGGGCGCTAGGCACATAATGGGCGGTAAGGGGGCGCTGGGCATAAAGGTGGAAAGAAGAAACTAAAGGTGCTCTGGAACAAAACAAATTTTAAAATTCTTCAACATTAAAGCTGGGAAACTAAATATGGACAAATTATAGTTAACTTGCTTCTAATTTAAGAACAGAAACAGCGTTAGAAATTGAGTTCGGGAATCCCATTTTCTATTTTTAAATTCTTACTCTTTTGCTATGATTGGAGAGTTTTATTTATTGTCCTTGGATCTCCCGAGTATAAACGTTTAAGATTGATCAACAAAGTAGGTAATACGCCTTTTAGATTATAGTTTATTTTATCTACATATGTTAATATATTGATATGTAAATGTTAATTGCAAAAAACATTAAAGGTAACTTTTAATAGAATAATTTAACTTTTTAAAAACAAAAACATTGATAAAATGTTGTTACGAAAACTCACTGGTATGTCATGTAATATTTCCTTGAGATTTAGTGATTTGCCACTAGAAAAAAAGTAAGTTCTACTTTGATGGCATTTTCAGATGAGGTTATAGATGAAATATTTCTCAAAATTGTCTAGTTATGTAGCTTATGAGGACATATAGGGAACCATCAGTGGTTGGATGCTATAATGACTTCATAGGTAATATAGATTAAAGAACAGATCTATTCACTATTCACATTGTGAGTTATGATACACAAGAAAAGTTTAGCCTACAATTTCATTTCTATTTGAATCTACTTATAAAACTGTAAATAAAATACAAACCCATGCCGAAAATAAGCGCATATTTCAACAGTTTTGTGAAACAAATGATGAAAAAGGTGTTAGACTCTTTTGTTCTAAACTGAAGTTCGCTGGATTTCGAAAGGTGTTTGTTAATTGTTATGGCTCGTTTTCTTAAGCTCTTAAATAGTTTTTTTTTTTTTTTTGAGAAACGGGAAGATTCAACGGTTGGCGATGACTTAAAGCAGGCTAAAAAAATTGTTTTACATGGAGGGCATCTAACACAAATGAATTAAACGAACCTCCGTCTGCTTCAAAAGAGACTGACTTTTATTGATAATTTCATTTTCTCTTTTATCGAGATATTAAATCAATTTTAAAGAGTTTTACAATCTCAAATAACTTGTTTGTTGACAAATGAATTACTGCCCAAGGATACCGATATCTAAGCAATTCACATAACAATGCTCTATGAAGAAATTAAGATTCGCTTCTAAAATTAAAAAAATATATATATAAATGACAATTATTTAACATGTGTTACTTTTTTAAAGCTTGAAATTTCTAATATTGTCAGACTCCAGGAGGCACAAGGTTACCATTAGCTTAATTTCATTTTGTTGCGAATCTAGCAATAATAATATTTATATTAAAAAATGAAACTAAATTTACATTTAAACTAAAAACAGTAAGCCCTAATATAAACAAATTTAAACGGAGACTATTCTTAGGATTTGAAAGAAAGTCTTTACAATTAATTTTTGTGTGTAATCACTGCAAATTATTTGACATAATTTTTGCTTGATGATAATATGAGCTGTTTTTTCCTTTAATTCCGAAGATTAGGACTGAGTCCAGTGTTTTACATAACTACGCAAACCCAACTGCGACCTACATATTTTCCCGAACTTTGTGCAGACAAAGCAGTTGTATGCTGGCTTTTCTTTGAGTATCAAATGTTTGTCTCGCAGTTTTTGTAAGAGCTCTCGAACTGTTTTTCTCTGAGGCTATCTGCTGCCAGAGAATGCTGCTAGGTACTTTCCTCTATGCCAGTGAAAACGAAATGGAGCCTGAATCAATCCTTAAAGCGCTCACAGGGGAGGGAGGCACCTCTGTAACTCAGTCCCCCTCAAAGCTCGTCAGTTGCAGGCCAAGGAGTTCACAACAATCGCCTTTGGCATGCGGTCGTCTCCCAAGCGAGTTAAGTGTTATTGACAGCATAAAAATTAATAGAAGATATTTTGTTCAAATTTGCCTTCTCACGCTTCTTTCTGTTTTTTTTTTTAGGGGGCTCTGGCGGATTTTTTTAAAGAAAAAATTCGAAAAGGCGGCGGTAGGCCAATTTAGGTTGAAGACCACTGCTGTACAGCCTTAAATAATGCACCATAAGCTCAAACTTTCTTTTACATATAATGTCATATATAAGATGTCATGGTGAAGTAATACACTTCTTACTTTTATTTCAGTGCTACCTCGGAGATGCTTTCAGATGTGCTAGCTGCCCATACTTAGGCATGCCTGCCTTTAAACCGGGGGAAAAAATTCAGTTGACAAACCAACAGTTGAAGGCAGATTCTTAAAATTGAGCTTTACCAATGATGTCACTTACAGCCAAAACATTTCCTGCATTCAAATTAAGAATGCTCAGAGAAAACAGCTCTTGAAGACTGCAGAATTGTTTATGAACATAATAAAATGTTAAAAATATATTTGATTTCAACTGTTTTCTTTATATGTTATGTTTTGGTTTTTTTATGAGCAAGTATTTATTGATTAGTTTTACATGTTTAGAATGTTTCTTCATATGATTATTACATCCCAGCCCAAACGCCCTGTAGGTTCAAACCTGGTACGATTGAGACTATCCAAGAATTTCTAGAGAGCATATAACTCGACCAGCTGATCATTACTAATTATTTTCACTTCGTAATATACCAGTTTGTATAGTAAGATTAGTTCCCTTGTTTTTTTTTTTATTTAAACAAAAAATAATAATTTTCTGAGGTAGGAATAACACAAGAACTACAAAGTATCAGTAGGAATTGTTATGTCTGCCAGGATTTCTATTACTAATTTTCACAAAATGCTTTGGTAGAAAAAGTCTGTTACTGTAATCAATTTTTAAGAACTCTTAAAATAATTTTTGTTACATTATTCATATGTTTATGTAGATGTAGATCTATCAGTCAAAGTTCAGATTTATTTGTTTCCAGGCATTTCATAACACAAACCTTAATTATAGAAGTGCAATGCATGTTTTTTCTTGTTAGAATGATTATTTTATTTTAAAGATCAATTCATATCACACTTCAATTTATATAAATACAATAATTTTTGTACAGAAAATTTGCAAGGAAATCTAATCGTCTGCTAATTTATCTGCCAAATCTCCACGGTTTAGTTTAATGAAAATGTTGGCCAGTTTAGCTTTAGTGGCATTCTCTGCATCTCTTTGAATCCATCTTTTCAATATTTGATACACACGTTCTCCAGTGTTATTAGGATAGTCCTCTTGCATTTGGTCTAACACAGCATCTTTGAAGTCTAAACGGCGACCCAAATCTTTCCAGTCACGTCCAACCTCACCTTTTATATCTAACAATTGATCTGTTGTTGGCTGTTGGTTTGAGACTGATAATATAGTAATAAAATTATTTTTATTTTCAAAAATATAATTGAAATTAATATTAGAAAAGGAAATTAAATCTTACGCTAATTTATTAAAAATCAAAGAAAACAAATTATCACTTTAAAAAGTTGAGGTTAGGGTTATTCCTTGTTAGCTTTAGGAAAGTCTCAGCTCCTACTTTCAAAAAAATTGGGAATTTAATTATGAGTTGTAATATTGTCCTTGACCCTTAATGGGTCCAGTACCTGATATTATATTGTGGAAAGTTAAATCAGTTAAGGGCTTCAACAGCCTTGCTAATCTTAAAGACCACATTAGGTTTATAAAAGAAGTTTGTGCACACTTTTAGTTGGACTAGTTTTTTAAACTAATTTTTTTCAATGAAATGTTATAAAAATTCATATTTGTTGGCATGCACAATTACAAAATAAAACTTTAAAAATCTTAGTGTATACTCATGTATTACAGATTTAGGTTATAATCATTTTTTGTTGTCTGTTGATATATATATATATATATATAATACAATAATTGAATAGCTAGTTTATGTTTAACAATCAATACCGTTATAAATTTGAATTCATTTACCTGTAATTGGTTTAGGTGAAAGATTTTTTGCTTTCTTATGCTGAATGTCACTTGTCTTACTTACATTCATAACATTGTTATTTCCAATCATCACATTACTGCCATTCACATTAGTAATATTGATTTCCACTAGTAGAAATAAAAAGTTTATTTTTATCCCATGCATAATGCAAGATATGCATTAAAACATATGATTACAAACATTTGACTGAACATATTTTTATATTTGTTAGCAAACAATCAAGTTTTCAAAGAAATTATACCGGGTATTAATTAAAAATAAAATTGTTTCAATAAATTATAAATAAATACTTTTTTAGGAAATTATGATTCACAAAACTTACTATTCCGCTTTGCTATACTAGTTCTTGTTTTACTGAAAATCTCATGCTCTAATATCTTTGAAGCTGTGAAGCGTTGTTCAGGATCATGTGATATCATATGAGTTAGAAGATCTTTAAACTAAATTGGTGTAGAAGTATAAGATTTGAATAGAATCAAAACTGTAGTTTATCTTAGAGCCTTCTAACATTCAGAATTTTTTTTTTTTCAAACATAAAATCAA